ATCAGAGATCCAGTGAAAAAAATAGAGATCAGTGGTTTCTACCCTGAAGAGTTAGAAGAACTTTATCAGGGCTCGATGTTAACCATTGCCCGATCGCCCGGGGCAAGTACTTTTTATTGTCGGGAGAGTACAAATTTCATTGCATTTGCCCGCCGTGCGAGTGCAGTGATCGCAAAAAAAATTATTTATCACTCAAAATTACTTTAAAAACACCGACATTAGCTGAAAACGACGCAGCCGGCGCCATTTTTGTTGTTTTGTACACATTCTAGCGTGATTTAAAAAGCTGCGATATTTCCGCCAGATGGCGTGATTTTTGTCCAACTTGCGGTAATTTTGATGTAGTTACCAAAACAACAAACAAGCTAGAAAGCGCTATCATATGGCAGTCTTCTGTACAGTGATGCTGGTCATACATTAAAAAAATATTCATTTTTTTTCTCTCAGACATTGGAGGGGTGCATTTAAATGTTATAGAGCTAAACATGTTAAATTGGTGACCTGTTATGTTATTATTATTATTGTCTTGTTGCTGCATTTATTTTGTCAGGGAAAACTAATCCTGTGTCAGTTAAAAGTCAGGGAATTCTGAAATTATGTAAGACTGTGGAAACCCTGAATAAAATAACTATGTATAATGATTCTCTAGAAAAGTCACATTATATTAATAGTATTATCTTGTATAAACATACTGTGACTCTAAAATAAAAGTTATTCATTTGTGACATTGACTTCTATCTTGTGATTTATCTTAAGTTTTTAACCTGTCAATTTTTTTTTTTAGATTTTTTACATTACAATTTATATTTTTCCCAAGCACACAACAGTTTAAAGCAAAGTTTAATTTGAAAAGAATGTGCAGGAAGGATTGAAAAGCATGATAACACGGTAATGTAGGCTTGAGTTCATTATCTGATGCATGCATATACACACCAGGAACCTGGAAACTTCAAAAATACTGAATTACAAAAAACATTTAAAAAACAAACATGTTTCATTGATATATATACAAAAATGAATATTAGGAACTATATTTATCAAACATTATACTGGGCAAGTAAAAATTGTTTCTGGGTAAATGAAATGTGAAAGTCACTTGCCCAAAGGGCAAGTGGTAAAAATCCTTAACGTCAACCCCTGTTTATTATAACAGATACCTTAAAAAAAAGATTTCTGATATTTAAAAATATAGCATTTCCCTTAAAAGGTAGACTCTTTAGAAAATGAGAAAGGTTCAAAACTAAAATATTTGCAGTTTTCCATTTCCTGCTAAATTTAAATATATTCTTTGTTTCCTTTAGCTTTGGTTTTAAATAGCTAACGGAGTCTTTTTCACTTAGCTTTGGCATTAAAAAGAAAAGAAACCAGGAAATCAGTAGCTAGAAAGGGGATACTGCATGGATAGTTAATCTGACCTTAACATGCAAAGGATCTTTAAAAGTCATTTATCAGTTTACAAAACAGTTCCAGAAAGCCTGATACTTAGTATTTGGCATGTAACGCACACAAACAATAAAATAAATTATCATCAGAGGCACATAAGGCTGATATAAGGTGATTTATGACACATTCAGTATTCATTCCAGAATTAATTCCAATACGGAGCTCCGCCAACAGAAAAGGCAAGGACAGAGTGATTGATTTCAGATAATAAAAATATATAAAAGTTCAATTGGTGCATAAAAACAGCTGAGCAATGTTTGCAGAGCCACAACAAACGGCAAGGCTGGTGGCTTTAGCGAACCCGCTGCAGGACAGGATGCAGAGCTGCGTGTGTTCAGCTCGGTTGGCTCCGTTTCACATCACAGAGAAGTAACGAACTGGCAGAGTCTGAACCGGGTAGCCTGCCCTAAAGTCTGCACACACACACACACACACACACAGTAAGGCACACACTCAGTATCCAAAGGAGTGAGACAAACTCACACACAGGCCAAGTCTTCAGGAGGAAAAAAAATAAATGAACCTTGGTATCAAAAAATAAACGTATGCATATCTTTAAGACGAATAACACCAGGCAGTGAATTCATGCACAAACACACACTCAAACACTAATCAGTATGCTGAAGGAGAGCCACTGCGTAGTCTGATAAAACCTTCTTTCACTGCTGCTTCCCCAGCTGGATTCAAGACTCATTTTTTACCTCTTACATTTTTTTTGTCCTACAGGAATATAAAAAATTACCTCCTCAAAAACGTATCAGAAAATTAAGATAAAAACTTCTACAGGAACGTATAAAGCAAACCTAACGCCTCTGTCAGGGTTTCCAGATAAATGATACTGCAAAGTTTACTGCATTTCAACCCTGCAACTGCATTGCAACCAAGGTCAGGGAGAGGCGGGGATCAGTGATGTGTGGCAATAAAGCAGAGGCACTTTACCAGCCTGCACTGGTGGAGCCTCTGTCCCCAATCAGAGCTAAAAGAAAACACTGTTTATTTACTGACAATACTTAGCATTCATCCCTCTAGTCCTCAGGAGTGCTAATGCTAATTTCCTCTATTCTCTGTAAGCAAATTTCAGAGCTAATGGGGTTGAAACAGGGGAAGTGTAACTCATCATCAGCCTTTAAAACAACTGAAAATGGAAAGCTATCTCTGAATGGAATTGAATCTATTTAAGAGCAAAGCATAATACTTTGTTAGTTTAAAAGCTTTATTATTTTAGAAACTATCCCCTAAAATCGTTCAGGCTCATTGGAAAAGACGAGGGGACACCGACTACGGCATATTGGTCGTTTCTACCTCATTTACCTGATAGAGAGACGAGTGCTTTACAGGTTACAGGTTAAGGTGCCTCATTTAATGATTAGTCAGACAAGCCGGGATATAAAACTTCAACAATGACCTGAAAAGATGGAGAAATTTCACCTCTGAATGTCTCTAGAAAACAGCGAAAAACTAAAATAAGATCTTAAGACATGTCTAGTTTAATCATCACCTTTAATGGTATGGTGATGATTAAAAAAAATAAATAAATAAATCATCTGAATTTGAGGCCAAATTCCTGCACAGTGATTTGCCACTCGTCACCAAAGCTTAATGATAGCGGTTGCTATGGTACTGGGCTAGATGAGGGTAGCATCCCTTTAAAACCACTATAGCTGTGACTTTGTTTTAACAAGCTAATAGGGTTCATACTAAAAAGTCAAAATTGATATGAATGTCCAGGAAAATATATATATTGATAATATGGGAATAAATGGGACTAAAATAATAAAAAGGCATAAAATAAGTGTTTTTATTAACATAAAAAAAATCCCTATTTTCAACGTGGAGCAAGCTTTCTCAATAAGTAGAGATTATATTAGTTAAATAAGTGTTCAAATTATTGTAAAATAAACAACCAGGGCTGAAATAATTAATTGGATTAATTGTGATTAATCGATCATTGAAATAATCATCAACTCATTTAGTAATGGACTAATAGTTAACCCTTTATAGGGCACTCAGTGAAATATGAAAATCTAAATGTCAAGCCAATAGTGTTATTGGAATCTAGGACAAGACCTTATTGCCTTTGTTACATTAAAAAAATATGGATATTTTAATGGCAAAAATTTATTTCAATGTATTAATAAGAAACACCAACTTGCCCGAATATATAACAAAAATAACAGGAAGTGCTTTTATAAGAAATTCATGAAAAAGAAAAAATTTTTTGGTACAACATAACCTTAGAGGCATTAATGCTGATACTGGCACATATTTTGGTTTAAAAATCTAAATAAAATTGTTAAGTAGGCTTATTAACTTTTTAATTTTACATTCTAACTTTTCAATTAGCTTTTTACCATTTAATTGACTCGTTAACTATTTTTTCCAACTTAATCTACAGTAGGTAATATATCATTCAAGGACTCATCTAATGGGTCAAATGCCAAAATGTAAAGATGTAGAGCCATGTAGCAGGATCTTCGCTGAAACTCTGGATATAGATCTTGTGCTTCTAGAACTCACTGAGGGATGGGGGGGTGACTCCATTTGTAAGGGGTATGCAAGTGATCAACAATGGTATCTTGCCCTATAAAGTGTTTATAGACTCTAAAGCATGACTTTAGCTGACAGAGGAACCCACATTAAGAAGTTATTATACCAAGATTGAAAATTATATACAAACATTTTGCATTTAAGATAAAAAAAAATGATAATATTAATAATTTTGTCCGTCAATATGCTCTATCCAGAATTTCTCAAGTGAAAAAGTTTTAGTTTCACCTGCTTTGAGTTTGTAAAAAAAACTTCTTTAAGGAACCTTTGGCTATTTGATTATTAATCAGAAAAAATAATTGTTAGTTACATCCCTATAAATAACCCAAATATAACACAATGTGAAAATATGTTAAGGTTGTTTGAGGTTTTATTGTTTTAATGTGAAAAAAAATGTAATTTAAAATTAACAATAGCAAGGATATGCAAACAAATCTTGTATTTACTATCAATGCAATACCACAGTGTGTGAGAATTAATATGACTGACAATAAGCTAATTTAAAAGTGGGACAAAAGTTTAAAAAATATTAATATTTTTTACAGGAGATTACATCTTATTGTGGATTGTAAATATTTAACCTTCAACTGGAAGAAACATGGGTTAAACAGCAGTAGGTGAATCTGTTTGTTTAAAGGGAGCAAAATTGAAAAAAGTTTGGAGAAATGGGGGGAAAAACATGTTAAAGGTAAAAACTTTCACAATTATAGAATAGACAAATAAAGCATCTGTAAATGGTTTGACTTTTGGTTGGGTTGGATATGAAATAAGTTACTTCCACACAATCAGGACATACTGAAGTGTTTCCTTTCAAGCAGCTCTTGTAGACTTTCATCTGATTGTCTTTTATCCTTGGGTAAAAATAAATGAGCACTCCTTTTACTGAATTCACCTCCAACCCAGGGATAAAAATACCATCCCCTCGTTTCTCTGACAGCTGCTTCAATCAAAGAGCGGCAGAGATTTAGAGAACGGAAACAGCGGTACATCTGCAACGCTTCGTTACTTACCGTTGGACAGGGCCTGCTGAAGCTCCGAGTCGGAAATGACTCCACTCCGGTCTTTGTCGACCCTTCAAAGACAAGAAAAAGAGAAATCCACAGATTAGCCCCGCCTACTTGACCATCTTCACACCCACAGACACAGATAGCAGCTGACATCAGAGCTCGCCTGTGGAAACCTGACCATGCTGAGAGCGTGTCAGTGTTTCAGCGGCCCGCGGGGACGGATGGAGGTCTGTGATGAGGACAAACAAGACACTTGTGCAGGGAGAGAAGCTGGGCAGACGAGATGCGGGTGTCTGATCCTTAGAAAGCAAAGGGAGCCAGAATGCTGACTGGTAACACCAGCACAGCCAGCTTTCAGGAATGTCAGACAGTAATGTTGATCATCAAGGTGAAAAAGCAAAAGTAAAAGCAGCCAGATGAGAGCAAAGAGAGGAATCTGCTGCATTAAACACTTGTTCCTCCAGTCAGAGTATTTTTAAAAGTCCTTTACATTTCCTGGTTAAATAGTTTTCACTTATTTCTGACCAAATAATTAAAAAATAAATTCAAAACTGCAGAATAATTTACTGGCAGATTTTAATAAAGTAGTGAATAAACAGTTAATAGTGGACTGAGATCTTCTAGTCATCCCGACCACTGGAGGCAGTTTTAGTCTGGAACCAAAACCAACAGAGCAGCACTTTACTCTGCAAACATTCCTACACTGATGGGCTGCAGGAGGGAAGTAGAATCCAACCGGACACTTTTAGATCGATAAAGACTCTACAGTAAACCAAGTAAACCAGTACAGACCATATAGGAACCTAATGGACAGACTTGGATGAAAAAAAAGGTTGGTCTGCAAATCAATTCATCTGTAGACTATTTTTCAATGAACAGATGAATCACTGAACGCCTAAAGCTAAATCTATGTTAATTTAATTGTGCTGGTTAAAGCAAATTTAAAAGAGGGGCTTACTTTTCTGTGGGATGTCTTTTCAGCAAATGATGCATTCTGAGATGTCAAGATATCCAAATATTGGACAAGCATTAATAACCAATTAATCAGATTAACTTTTTCTAAATCTGGACGGACAGACAGAGCCTTGAAAACTCTAATTTTAAACTTATTTCTAAAACTATAAATCAGAACTAGGGCTGGGTAACCAATCACATTTGCACGATAATCGCAATTTAACAAAATTCAATTTGACTAATTCCAAAGGCCCTCAGTGTTGGTCGTGTTACAATTAACGAGAGCAAGACAGTACATTTCTCACTGCAGCCCTTTAGCTGTCATTAAATGGGTTTGACGCAGGCCTGGGCGATAAACCCGATTTTTACGGTTACCGTCATTCACTACGATAACCGGCGACAATTTTCTCATGTCGGTAAAAGAAATAAACGGAATTCTACCCTGTATGCTGGTGGCTGGTATTTCCTTCCCCTTTTAGACCTGGCTAGTGTGTTTAACCAAGTGACTCTACCCATCCAGTCAGACGCGTGAACAAAAAGAATGGCGGATGAGCCCAGTGAAGAAGCGTCTAACACAGCTGTAAACGAATTTGCATCAATTCATCCTGTGGAGCTGAGCGAGACCAGAGAGGAAGCTAAACGCACAGAGAAGAAGTTGAGAGCGCATTTACGAGTTTAAACGATTCACATTGTTCTCACTGCACGCTCAGTTCGGTGGCACCAAAATTATGCCATAGATGTCGAGCAAAAAAAATAAAAACACGAAATGCAAAGTTTGTCTAAAAACTTTTGGAACTACCCAAAGCAAAACATTCAACCTCCACCACCTCCTAAAGCATAACCACCCTGTTGAGTTCAAAAATGTGCAAAAGGCTCCATTACCTTTGCGCAAAAATTTTTGCAAGAGGTAAAATTTTCCTCCTGTTCAATGAGGCATTGCTGAATGTTTAAACTTGAATGGTTACAATACTTTAATATTTAATTGAAAGTAATATGTCATGCGATTTATTCAAGAAATTAATTGCAAAGAAATTAGTTGCATTTCCTGCACATGTCTTTATTTCTGATAGAGGAGCCTGAGCATTTATCGTGCATTTATCGTTATTGAGGTAAAACTGCCCAATTTATCATATTGCTTTGAATTCATACCACCCGGCATGTTGCTACACAGAAAGCAAAAGAGAGTTGAAGCTAGAACCAAATTCCAGGCATGCAAATAGAAATAAGCACTTTCTCACAAGGATTACACTGAAGTCTTGCAACAATGGACTCTGGACAAAGCAAAGCTCTAAAGGTCATGAAAAAACTAAAACAGCTACATAATTGTGGTCGGTACAAAAGAAACTCGAAACAAACCTGCAATCGTTGTACTGATTTTTGCCAAAATCCTTCAGCCCTAATCAGAACCATGCTGTTTCTAAAAACAAATAATGGTATTTATTCATCTGATCATATAAAGGAGGCAACAGATTTAAAAAAAAAAAACTTTTAAAATGATCTTTGAAGAGTCAAATATCTGTTATATAATTATAAAACTTATATTGAATTATGCTGATGATATGAAGGTTTATTTGAATGATTATAAGGGCTGTGAACTCTTGAAATTGTCACACAACGTGTTAAAACATGGGGGGGAAAGTACATCATCGTAGAATAGAACAGAATAGAATAGAAAATCCCTTTATTGTCCCACAATGGGAAAATTCTGGTATTTTCAGCAGCAAAAAGATTAAATGTTTTATGTAAATGTTTTAATTAACATTCTAGCTTCATCTTTCCTCATTAGATTAACATCTGATCATTAACATACTGAGGCCTAGTGAGTGGTTCCTATCTGGAAGGATGAACAAGATAATAACATGTAAAAATGTGATTTGTTCAGCATGTTTCTCATGAGAAATTCTTGAAATCACGTGTGGTTTGGCAGCACATGAGTTAGCCCGCCTCGTCAACCACTGTGAAAACCTACAGCTGTGTTGAAAAAAATACAGCTGGGATGTAAAAAAAAAAAACAAAAACAAAAACGAGCTTCCAGTAATCTGAAATCTCACTCAACAGGTTTTCCAGCATGTTTTAAAGCAGACACGATCTTAATCCATGCATAGTTCAGTGGCAAGACAAATCTAAGTGCTGCAAATGAGGAAGCAAAGAGAAAACCGTAAATGTACCAGAATGTTTACCTTTGACTTAGTTTGCACGGCTGCCAGGGGTGGATTTACCATCAGGCAAAACTAGGCAGTTGCTTGGGCCCCAAGTTCCAGTGGGCTGCCATTGTGCGGTGCCCAGGTTAAGTGTCTTTTTGCTCAGGGACCCAGAGTGGCAGTCTGTGGGAGTGGGGGTTGAACTCAGAACCTCAGGATTCTAAGCTGTATGCCCTAACCACTAGGTCACCACTCCCCTTGTGCACATATGCTGTGCATGTGCAGAAAGGTCCAAACAAACAGACAGCAGCAAACCATCAGCAGTGTAGCCAACTTAGTGCTTTTGTGGCCATATTTAGCAACTTTTCAGACCCCTCTAGCGCTTTTATTTAAAAAAAAAGCACCTAGCGCCAAGTCTAGCAACTTTTTTCTATTACTGGAGACTTTGGAGTCAACATATTGGCTGCAATCTTCCATCTTTCCAGGATCTGTACACCTCAGGACTTAGCAAGAAGCACGAATTGTTTCAGTTGGTCATAAGACAAGGGAATTATTTATTTTTTATTTGTCATGAGTGCTTGGTTCGGAAATGTCTTGAGGGTCCCTAAAAGAAACCCTGCCTTTAAGAAGAAGGAGCAACAGAGAGTGGCTGGCTGATGTCTGAGCTCCTGAATCAGATCGACCGCGAGACAGGTGCTGCTAAGTCAGCGGAGCTTGAATATCCAGCTTCTAACTTACTTCCCAGCGGTAATTCAACGCATATTTCTGAAGCAGCCTTCGAGTTCACAAAGTTTTTGTTCTCTGCACGTCCCATACTGCTGAGTTATTTCTAGATTGTGGCATTTTGAAACAAGAACAGCCATTGTAGACACCCTAAATTCTGCAAGAAACTGTTTGTTTCAGATATCTTAAAGCATCAATAAGGATAGTCAAATTTCGTAAATAATGTTTGTCCATTCGATTTAAATCTCTGTATAATGAGTCTGTTTTATGTGCTTTCTTTTCAATTCCGAGGGCCCCATGCCTGACTTTGCCTGGGGCCCCTGACTGCAGCTATGCTTAACTCTGCAGAATAGAAAACACATGCAGAAGATTGCGAAATTCAGATCAGGAGAAAAGTCCTGTTTATAGAAGGCATGCAAAAGGCAGGTTTCAGCATGGTGGACGTCTAAGAAAAAGTTGCTTCAAGACGCACAGTCATGAGGATGTTAAGAGGACGGATAATGACACTTATAAAGGAGGTTAGTCAAACATCCAGTGACTCAGTTGTTCCTTAGCAACCCACTGGGCCTGACCTGTTGACGCAGCGATCTCTCGGTAAACATACCAGCAGAGGCGAGCGGCAGGGTGAGAGGACGGGAAAACCCTCACATACTCTCTGAGGACCAGCCCACCGCTGGCAGCTGAGCTTTCTGCTCCCAGCTGTGGTATGCAATATTGCTAAAGCCTACGTGGCCTTCTCTGCAGACATCAGCGATATCTTTATGTGCATTTCTGACCGCTTGAGTTAGGAAAACAAATATAAACCTGCTCGGTCTGCTTGGTGGAACCAGAAAGAAAAAACATGTCTGCAGCTCAGAGTAAATGAAGGTTTTGTCCCGGAGGAGGTGAAGGGCGGTTTGGGTCGGCCATGGCGCAGTGCTGTGGAGGCACCCATCCTTTCCCAAACACTTGGCTGATTTTCTCAAAGAATAGCGAGTGTGTGTGTAAAACGTACGGCATGTTTTCTCTCCCAAACCCTCCCATCTCTCACTCTGCCTCAGGCAAAGCGACCTCGCAAGTGTAGGAAGGAGAGAAGTTGAAAAGCATCATTAAATCTCTCTTTTTCCCCATGGAACAGGCACCATCTGGTGTTTCCATCCTCATTTCTGTCAAAAACACAACCTGGATATAACAAACCGGGTCAGGACAATATGAACCAGACCAAAAGGAGCCAGTTGTTCTGCTCACATTTTCCCCCTGTTTCACTTTTTCCTATTAGGAAACCTTGGTGGACCAACGCCCTCTCTGCTTTCCACATAAAAAAAGAAGGGACACAAGAGGCGGGAAAATAAAACAAACCTTCAAACTCATAGACATGAAGTGGCTGGTATAAGAGATCAATTTTGATCTAAAGAAGAGCAACTAGGACTTTTAAAGGCTGCTGTAGAACTATGTTTTTTGTCATTGTTATGGCTTTAAAAGTGCTCCTAGTGGCTATTAACGAACATTAGACAGAATGCCATATTAGGTCTGCTTTAACCAGAACAGAGTGTGTTTCTGTACATTATGTGGAACTTTGAGTAAAAACCAGAAAACTCTACTCCAGACTGACAAAAACCCACTTTTTAAGGTGGTCTCAGTCTACTTCCAGAAGGTTTCTGTCCCAATTACGGTAGCTTATTAATACAGACTGGCCTCAGTCCAATCCATGGCAAAAAGCATACATCTTGTTGAGCTTATCGATCCGCCATAGTAGTAAATGTAGCATCCAGAAAATAATTTTTATGCTGTGGATGGCTTTGTTTTGAGGTATACTCTGTTTGCTGCAAAAAGTAAAATTAAAATAAAAACTGGGCCAAAGGAAATAAAAATGAAAGCCTACAGAGCAAAGAACTTTCCTGGTCTGAATTCATCCTTAGGCTGCAATGTTCCAAAATCAAATATCATGGTATTTGACAAGTTGACACAGAAACATCAAGATTGTGAGAGTACCAACAAAATAGAAAGGTTAAGGCAAAATGTATATTATTTATTTGAATTTGTGTTTAGTTTGATTATGGTGTAGTTACTCCTTAAAGAGCCTATATTATGCAAAATACATTTTTGAGCAGTTAACGAGATTATGATTTCTTCAACATTGTGCACAATTTTTGGCTGAATTCGTACATATTTCTTATGGGTCCTGCTGTCTGAGCGGTAGCAAACTTTAAAAAGTTGAAAAAAAGGGGAAATCTTAAATTTCTGTATTTCCATTTGGTCTGAAGTGAATTAATCGAGTTGCATATAGCGCAATGTCGTTCCATTTGGGAAGATGTCGACATCAGAAACAGCAAAGTCGTGTGAGTTAAAAGTTTGCTACGTCAGAGCTAATTTGAAAAAGGCCCTTTTTGCAAAAGCCAAAATTCAGCTCAAGCGAACCTAAAAATTTTTCTTTCATTTATTTTTTTTTTTTTGTCATTACACTGTCACAAGTACAGAGCAACAAAATGAACTCTCTGCATTCAATTCATCCCCTTTCAGAGCAGTGGGCTGCCATTGTGCGGCGCCCAGGGAGCAGTCCGGGGTTAAAGGGCTGGTTCAACTCCCTGCAGCAGTGTGTCTCAATAAGCTTGTCGCAGATATTTTTGATTTATGCCCAATATTGAAGCGTGGTCTGAGCTATGTTATTCCACGCCACATCGCAAGAGGGACAATCACAAACTAGCTGTGGGTCTAGATACGGCCGAGGTGGTGAGGTAGTAGGGGCAAGTTTGTGCGACAACGGAGGGACATGAGGGCCAAAAAGAGCAGGGATCCAGGTGGAAAAAGGGTCCCAGCGTTCTCCAAACCTCACTCTTCCAGCTGGTCCACCTTCAAGAGTCGTTTTCCGCAATTTCTGTCATACAAACAAAACAAGCCGGTAAGGTACCAAACAGGAAATACACATGGTGTAGAGCGGATGTAGATTTGACCAATCAGAGGCCTCCTGTCTGCGGCACTGTCTGCAGTCACCTACAATTTGGGAGGGGTGCGCCAGAGTGTCTGCGGCAGGGGCACATTTGCATTCCCTGCACGCACACGCAGACAATGCACAATGCTCTAACCAACAGGCTACTCCCCCATTTTCAAATTTTGCCATATTCACCAAATTTTCTAATGTCATATTTTAAAATACTCTTTAGAAAAAGCTGAAAACACACCTAATGTTGCTCAGTTGCCCTCCTAGATCCCTAAAGTATTCCCTCTGGGCACTCTGGTACATTTTTGAATCTAATTTGAATGAACTAAAAGAAAGAAAAGCGTAAAAAAAACCTTTATCCCAATACCAGCTAAGGACCTATACCCAGCGGTGACACTTCCAGTCAACCAAACAGCATAAAGATGAAATAAGCCATGTGCCACAAACAATACAACAATGACTCTTCCAAAAGTAGGTGTGTTTGTGTGACACATAGACCCAGAGGCCTCCCGTTGCTTAACTGCGCTCTGTTGACTGGAGTCACATGACAGGGAATTCCACAACGGCTCTGCCAGATATTCACATCAGACCTGCAGATGAGGAAGCGCATGACAGAGAGAGAGGATGCATGCACTGATGACTGTCACATTGTTTGCCTGACATTTGCTCTCATTATACCTTTTGTTTATGTAGGCAATATAAAAAATACCCTCAGAGACAAGAATATGTATCTGGTATGTCAGTTTTCTATGTATCCTTCATGTGACAGAGGACAAGACCACTACTATGAAACAGCAATCATGCTGAGCCAATTGATCTTTTCCTGTTAAATAAAGGGTTTGGACACAACCTTGACTCTTTATGATACAGGCTCAGCTTTCTGGAGTTCCCAGTCCCTTTTTAGACATCTTCAAAGAATAAATACCTGGGATTCAACTTGAAAAATCAGTATAAGGTACTATAGGAGGTCAGGATTTAAATAGGATACCTGAAGGAAAGCAGTTAGAAGCATACAGAAGACAGGTTGATGGATGGTTCTGAAAGATAATTAGTTAATTAAGTCTGAAATCAAAAACCCTTTCCTACTCTACTTCCTTTTATCAGTTATCCAGCCCTAGAAGCAAGAAAGGCTGACGAGAAAGAAACGTCCAGGTTGATCTGCGTACCTCTCTCCCTGCATTACTCCCAAGTTCTGCTCCACACATGAATAATTCGCAAGGGCTGGTCCAAACACCCCCAAATGCCTGCAGCATTTCTGTAGCGTTGGAAGCAAATCCTCTGCAGTATTACATAACTTCAATTATTACCAGGGGCCAAACCGAATCAACATGTCCCTGATTGCCTACTACTATGACTGCCACAGCTGCTGACACACATTTCAGCCTGACTGGAGTGTAAATCAGCCTCTCTCTCTCTCTCTCTAGTGTGGCTTTACTATTGCCTTTTTTATTCTCCCTGTGGAATCAGTAGAGATTTAACTTAATTGTGTAAATCAGTTGTGATGGCATGAATAAAGTTGCAGGTAGGAACCAGAGAGGGAACCTTCAAGGACTCCTGGAGGTCCTGGCTTGAGAAGTCCTTCTGCTGAATGGAAGTATTACAGTTAGACTCAAAATGTTGCTGTTATCAGATAAGTGACTAGTCACAGTCACATGGTGTATATCTCTATGTGCAGATGATAAAAGAAAAAAAAGGCACACTATGTGGTATTTCCTCCGTCATGTCACGCATATTTGCGGTGGACCTTTACTATGAACAGAAAACGTCAGAAACCATAAAAGAGCAAAGAACAAACGGGCTGTTAGTGAAATAAGCAGTGGAACCAGCACCCAGTCCGCCTCTCTTCCTCTTAAAGCCTGTCAGCTCACTGCGGAGCGGACAGGCGGGCGGGTTTCACCGCACTCACCTCTGGAAGATATTCCACAGAAAGCTCTGGTCCGCAGCAGCGTTGGTGTGCGGGGCGCCTCTGTAGGGGCTGTGATACGCCATCTTTACCAGAAAGCTCTGTTACTACAATTCAATAAAACACACAACTACGAACCACAGCAGGATAAGAGCAGAGCGATCGCTTCCTTCTGCTGTAGTTTCTCTTCTTCCTCTCAATCAGACACAGAACTCATAGCGGATCCCCTCCCGCACAGGGGCGTGGCCAATCATTCACTGCTGCCGTATGACGTCACGCCGTACGTCTTTTTCTGTGAAGTAAAAATAGAAAACTGTGAATAGTTTTTTCCATTTTGCTATAAGTTAATGGACAATAGGATGAGACAGCATGACTCGCATCAGCCGCTTCTTTTTATAAAGATATGTTGATGTAGAGCTAGGAGAGGCTACGGAAGAGGATTAGGGCCACTGAAAAAAAAAAAAAAGTTAATTGATTTTTCAGTTTAATATGGGAAAAAACTCAGAATTCTGAGAAAAAAAGTCAGACTTCTGAGGTTAAAGTTAGAATTCTGAAAAAAAAGTGAGGATCCTAAGGTTAAAGTCAGAATTCTGACAAAAAAAGTCAGAATACTGAGGTTAAAGTCAGAATTCTGGGGTTAAAGTCAGAATTATGCGGAAAAAAGTCAGAATTCTAAGAAAAAAGTCAGAAGTTTGAGAACAAAGTCAGAATTCTAAGATTAAAGTCAGAATTCTTAGAACAAAAATCTGAATTCTGAGATTAAAGTCAGAATTCTGAGAAAAAAAATTCAGAATTCTGGGGTTAAAGTCAGAATTCTTAGGTTAAAGTCAGAATTCTGACATTAAAGTCTGAATTTTGAGGTTAAAGTCAGAATTCTGACAAAAGAAAGCAGGACAAGACCATGACACTACCAGCACTGTGTTTTACTATTTAGCATGGCACAGGGTTTTCTATTTAGCAAGCTGTTTGCCGAATATAACGGCACACACTAAGTTCCCATTTAGTTCTGTATTGTTTTCTTTAAAGGGTTTTTTAAATCTAATTATGCTGTCTTACATTTGGGAAAAGAGCTTTTATGTTTATGGTTGTGGAACTTTCCTACTTGATTTCCTTCTTGCCCAGTTTCTGTGTTGAAACATAAACACTGACCTTAACTGCAGCAAGGGGAAACCTGGGGCCTGTTTCAGAAAGGAGGTTAAGTG